GAGCCACCCAAGTGCCCCTAGACATTATTTTTTAGAGCAGTTTAAGGTTCACAGCAAAATAGAGGGGGCCAGAGATTTGCACATATCCTCTGCCCCCCAACACACAGCCTCCCCATTATCAGTATCCCCAATCAGAATGGTACATTTGTTACAGTTGATCAACCTACATTGACACATCACCCAAAGTCTATAGTTTACATTATGGTTCACTCTTGCTGTTGTACATTCTATGAATTTGGACAAATGTATAATGACATGTATCCATCATTAAGTATCAAACAGAGTATTTTCACTGCCCTAGAAATTCTCTGTGCTTTGTGTATTCATTTTACCCCAGTTCCAACCCCCAACCCTTGGCAATCACTGATCCCTTCACTCTCTCCATAGTTTTACGTTTTCCAGAAGGTCATATAGTTGGGAGTCATACAGTATGTAGTCTTTTCAGATTGGCTTCTTTCACTTAGCAATATACATGTAAAGTTCCTCCATGCCATTTCAGTTTTTCATAGTTCATTTTTTTTTTTAGTCCTAATAATATTCCACAGTTTATTTATTCACTCAAGGGCATCTTGGTATTTCCAAGTTTTAGCTTCAAGATTCTCTCCCTCTGGGCGCCTGGGTGGCTCAGTTGGTTAAGCGACTGCCTTCAGCTCAGGTCATGATCCTGGAGTCCCGGGATCGAGTCCCGCATCGGGCTCCCTGCTCGGCAGGGAGTCTGCTTCTCCCTCTGACCCTCCTCCCTCTCATGCTCTCTGTCTCTCATTCTCTCTGTCTCAAATAAATAAATAAAGTCTTTAAAAAAAAAAAAAAGATTCTCTCCCTCTGCCCCTCCCTCCTCAAAATAAATAAGTAAATCTTAAAAAAAAAAAAAAAAAAAAAAGAGGCCCAGGAAAGAAGAGCAAAGCAAATCAAACAAACTGGAAGGAAAAAAAGAAGATCAGAGAAGAAATAAATTAAATGGAACAGATTAACTGGTAGAGGAAATTAACAGAACTGGAAGCTTGTTTGTTGAGAAGTTCAGCCTAACTGATAAACCCTGACTTAGATTGATGAAAAAAGGGATATATAGAGAGAACACAAGTTACCAATATCATGATTGAAAGAAGTGTTATCACTACAAATCCTACATATATTAAAAGGATAATAAAAACAAATTGATTATGAGCAACTTGATTCCAGCGAACAATAATTTTGATGAATTGAATATTTTGAAAAATACAACTTACCAAATTGACCCAAGATGGAACAGAAAATTTGAATAGCTCTATAGCCATTAAACCACAGTAACTCTGTAACTATCAAAAACCTTCCTATAAAGAAAACTTCAGTCCTGATGATGTTACTTTTTTTTTTTTTTTAAGAAGATAGAAGACAAGTGAACACTTTGCAACTCTCTTTTGTCTTTCTCCAAGGTGGGCTGCTGGGTCTTGGGGGAATGGTGACAGGAGTAATGTGAAGCTGTCTTTCATACCTACTTCAGTGTATCTTTTCTTATTCCTGTGCTCCATCCAGGTGCTGTAATCCCTTACCTGGAGTCCTTAGCCTTTGTAAAGGTATTTTTGTGCATGGAGTGTTTTTCTAAGTAGTATTTCTGTGAGGGTATGAGTGCTGAAAACTCCTATTCCACCATCTTGCTGATGTCACTCCTCTCTCAAAGTTGTCTTAACCTTAGAAAATCGATGTTTTGCCATATTAATAGAATGAAGGAGAAAACCATATGATAATTTTAATACATAGAGGAAAAAATATGACAAAACTCAACATCCATTCACATGAAAAATTCTCACCAAGCAAAGTATATAAGGTACTTATTCAACTTATAAAGAGCATCTATGAAAAACCTCCAGCTAACATCGTATGTTCATGTTGAAATATTAAATTATTTTCTACTGGAATCAAGAACAAGGCAATGTGCTCAATTTTGTCACTTTTACTCAACATTGAATTGGAGGTCCTAGCCATTGCAATAGAGGAAGAAAAAGAAATATAATGATAAAGATTGGAAAGGAGGAAGCAAAATTGTACTCATTTTCAGTGTGAAATAATATGAAAAAATATATATTGGTCTCTGTCCCCAGTTCTTGGCACAGAGCTTCTAAAATCTGTGCAATTTCCTAAGTGGTATTAGAACTAGGAACATCTTTTGTTCTAATATTTGGTCTTTGAACCTGGTTCCTGACACAGGGCTCTTGAAACCCTTGTAATTTCCTGAGGGATAGGAATATTTTTTGTTCTAATGAGTTGACTCTGGCTGGGCTCCTTGATAAGGACTGATCACAGGAAGGACCAAGCTATGATTAGAAGCTTGAAATTTTCAGCCATAGGGGCACCTGGGTGGCTCAGTCATTAAGCGTCTGCCTTCAGTTCAGGTCATGATCCCAGGGCTCTGGGATCGAGCCCCACATCAGGCTCCCTCCTCCACGGGAAGCCTGCTTCTCCCTCTCTCACCCCCCCTGCTTGTGTTCCCTCTCTCGCTGTGTCTCTCTCTATCAAATAAATAAAATCTTTAAAAAAAATCTTTTTTCAGCCATACCCAACCCCATCCCCATTCTCTTGTGAAGGGAGGAGGACTAGAAATAGAGTTAATGATTGATCAAACCTATGTGAGGAAACCTCCATAAAAATTCCCAAAGTATGGGATTCAGAGAGCTTCCAGGTTGGTGAACACATCTATATACGGGGATGGTAACCCAGCCCAACAGTTTCTGTACTTGGCATCCTCACCTTATGTGCCTTTTCATCTTTCTGTTCATCTGTATCCCTTATCATATCCTTCAATAAACCTGTTAACATAAGTAAGTGTTTTCCTGAGTTGTGTGAGCCACTCCAGCAAATCAGTAGAATCCAAAGGGGGAAGAGGTCATGGAAACCATGATTTGTAGCTAAGTCAGGCAGAATTGTGGGCAATCTGGGGACATACTAGTATTTGCAGTTGGTATCTTGAAATAGGGGGCAGTTTTGTGGGACTGAGCCCTTAACCTGCAGGATCTGATGCTATCTCCGGGTAGACAGTGTCAGAATTGAGTTAAAATGTTGGAAACCCTGCTGCTATCACAGAGAATTGCTTGTTTTGGGGAAAGCCCTCATCTGGTGTTGAAAGTATTGTGAGGGTGGTAGTGGTGTAAGACTAAAAGAGACACACAGGAGGAGAACTGGATTTTTCTTAAATAGCAACTAACATGATTGTTTACATAGAAAACCCTGAAGATCTACAAAACAACTAGAAGTAATAAGTGAATATGCAAAGTCATAGTGTATAAAGCTAAAATTTATAAACTCAATTCTATTATTATCTTCTAACAGGAAAAAAAATTGTGAAATGTAATGGAAAAACAGTTCTGTTTATAATAGGTCCCCAAATCAGATTATTTAGAAATAAATGTAAACAGATATACACTGAAAACCACAGGGCATGGCTGAGAGATATTTTAAGACTTAAATGAGTGGAAAGATATATTATCTTCATGGATTGGAAGACTCAATTTTAAGATGTAAATTTTTCCTAAATTGATCTATATATTTAATTTAATCCCGATAAAAATCCCTAGAAGTTTACAAACTGATTTTAAAATTTATATGGATGCAAAGGACTTTGAATTGCCCAAAGAATTTTTAAAAAGAAGAACAAAGTTGCAGGACTTACTATAAAGTTCCAGTATTCAAGACTGTACTATAAACAAAAGGATAGGTATATTGATAAATCAACAAAACATCAGAGTCCAAAAATATCTCTACACATGTCTAATCAATTGATATTTTTATTTTATTTTATTTTTTTAAAGATTTTATTTATTTGACAGAGAGAGACACAGCGAGAGAGGGAACACAAGCAGGGGGAGTGGGAGAGGGAGAAGCAGGCTCCCTGCAGAGTAGGGAGCCCGATGTGGGACTCGATCCCAGGACCCTGGGATCATGACCTGAGCTGAAGGCAGTCGCTTAACCAACTGAGCCACCCAGGCGCCCTCAATTGATATTTTTAAAGATTTTATTTATTTGTCAGGGAGGGAGGGAGAGAGAGAGAACAAGCAGGGGGAGTGGTAGAAGGAGAAGCAGGCTCCCTGCTGAGCAAGGAGCCTGATGTGGGACTTGATCCCAGGACTCTGAGATCATGACCTGAGCCAAAGGCAGCCGCTTAACCGACTGAGCCACCCAGCACCTCTAATCAATTGATTTTTAAATAAAGGCACAAGGCAATTCAATGGGGAAAGGAATGTCTTTATTTGAAAGTTAATAAGAGTATAGATCTTAAAATGTCTCATAACAAAAAAATTTTGTGACTATGGTGATGGATGTTGATAGAATTGTGGAGATCATTTCACAATACATACAAATAATGAATTGTTATGTTATATACCTGAAACTAATATACTGTTACATGCCAATAAAAACATGGTCTTTCAATATGGGGAAAAATGCATTGACTCTTACCTTATATCACACACAGTAATTAACTTGTAATGGGTCATAAACCGAAATGTAAAATCTCAAGCTATAAAACTTCTATCAGAAAACAGGAAAAAGGGGCGCCTGGGTGGCTCAGTCGTTAAGCGTCTGCCTTCAGCCCAGGTCATGATCCCAGGGTCCTGGGATCGAGCCCCGCATTGGGCTCCCTGCTCCGCGGGAAGCCTGCTTCTCCCTCTCCCGCTCCCCCCGCTTGTGTTCCCTCTCTCTCTGTCAAATAAATAAAATCTTAAAAAAAAAAAAAAAAAAAAAGAAAACAGGAAAAAAAATTTTGTGACACTGGGTGAGGAAAAGATTTGTTAAACAGAAGATGAAAACACAAAGGAAAGACATATTAGAATGCACTTCATTAAAATAAAAAACATTTACTTCCCCAAAGACATAGGTAAGAAAACAAAACCAAAAGACAGGCCATTGATTGGGAGAAAATATTTGCAAAATGTGTCTGTCAAAGGGTTTATATCTGTAGAATACGTAAAGTACTCTTAGAACTCAATTCTTAAAAAAAAAAAAAAGAACTCAATTCTTTTTTTTTTTTTAAGATTTATTTATTTATTTATTTGACAGAGAGAGACAGCGAGAGGGGGACACAAGGAGGGGGAGTGGGAGAGGGAGAAACAGGCTTCCCGCGGAAAAGGGAGCCCCATGCAGCGCTCGATCCCAGCACCCTGCTTAACGACTTAGCCACCAAGGCGCCCCTCAGAACTCAATTTTTAAAAGAAAGACAACCCATTTTTTAAAAAAATGGGCATAGGATTGGATATTTCACAAATGACTAGTAGACACATGAAAAGATGCTCAACATCACCAGCCAATGGAAGATGCAAATTAAAACACAGTGAGATAATACTACATACCCACTAGGATGAATTAAACCAAAAAAATCTGACAATACCAAGTATTATCAACAATGTGTTCTTTATTTTGACAGTGATGTTTTCATGAGTTTATATACAAGGCAAAATTAAAGTGTACATTTTTAATGGATATATCTTATTGCATGTAAATTGTATCTTAATGAAATTGACTTAAAGATACACCTTTGGAAGAATAACAATTTATTATCCCAATGGGCCAAGATATAAAGATGCTTGGGTACTTACTAAAGTAGTAAGTGTAGCTGGGATCAGACTTTAGTTCTCAACCCAGATTGTTTTCCCTTCCAATTAGATCATGGGGCTGAGCATAGAATGCAGAATTGAAGGAAGGAAGAAGAAAGAAGGGGAACAAGTGTCCTAAGAATGGATCTGCTGTAATCCAGACCCTTAGTCTTGTCCCAACCAGGGATGTCAACACATTTCCCCACGGGACTGAAGACATGCCTTGCTGTTAACTTGAACATTTTTCATCTTTTAAAATAGCTTCCTTACTTTTCTTTCTCTTCCCTAATCATGACAGAATCACTTTGAATGATACAGACATATATGGAAACAAAGTCCGGGTGACTTATACTATGTACCGTTAAGGGATGTGAATAAAGAACTCTGGACACATCTCCACCTGCCACTTGATGAGTGAGTGCTCCTTGGAACCTATTTCATGGATTCCAAAGTACGTAATTAAAAGAACATAAAGAATTAGATGGATTGAAAGTACGTAAAGAATTAGAATCAGAAAATGCAGAGAATGTGTTGAGTTAATGCTTTTTAGAACTAATATGTAAATTTGCCAAATTTCTTTCCAGCTTATTATTTTTAATATTTTAATATCCTATATATTTTACATGTGTTTTCTCTATGCTTCTCTTGGGCTTAATAATAGGTTCATTGAAATTTGATATTTTTTCTCTAAGAGGACATTTTATCATCTTGAAATTACTGAGGTACTAAACTGTTGTCACATTATATTTGATGTTAGTGTGCAGATTCCACTGTAAGAAAAAAAATGAAAGATAATCCAAGGGAGGAGCACTTACTTAAATATGCATTCACCGGCCTTTGTTATTAAACTGAAGTGAAATCAGGTCATCTTTCATGATTTCCAATACGGAACTGTGTCCATGAAGGGCTTGAACTGGATAGGTTACATTTCTGAAAAGCTCCTGTGTTCAAATAGCAAAAAATCACTTTGAGAAATTGAAAAATGTCCTCTGTGAATCTGAATTTTTATAGCATACTTTATTTGAATTTATGTGAAACAAATAATGTAACAAATGAGTTCATGGGAAATAATCTAAATTTGACGTTCCAGAGAAAACTAGCATTTATTGAACACCAGCTGTGCTTTGGGTACTGTAAAGCACTTTATGCATATGATCTTATTTAGCCCTGTCAGCCTACAGAGTAGGTAGTACCATTATCTCCATTTTGCAGATGGGAAAATGCAGGCACAAAGAGATGATGTAGTTTCAAGATTTTAACCCTGGCCTCCTGTCTGTGGAGCCTGCACCCTCTCACCCCTGGCCAAACACACAGGAGTAGGTCTTCGCTCTTCCCTGCACCTGCCCTGTTCCTCCCCACCTGCATTCATCCTGTTCGTCCTCCTGGAGAGCCCAGCCTGCCCTCTCCACTGGTCACGTCCTGTCTATTCTTCACTGTCTGGGCACTTAGACCTTCTGTATTCCCACGGCAGCTACTCTGCCTGATTTCCTATTGTCCAAACGTAATTGCTCCCTAATGTTTGGGTACTAACCTCAGAACCAGCTGTCCTGCCTCACATTGCCCTTCCTCCAAGCCATCCTATGTAATCCCCTTAAATACATATTCTTAAAAAGCTTTGGGTGGCTCCCACTGTTGTCCTTGGAATCCTAGTTTGGAGAACACTCAAGGCCTTCCAAAATCTTTGACACACTTCCCAGTTCTAGTCAGATGTGGAAACACCAACCCCAGACAGGTATTTCTCAGGTCATTTCAATGTGCTTGGCGTATAATAAACATTTAATGTTAGTTTTCATTATTTTGTATTTAATATTTGAAGATAATATTCATAGTTACATAGTTCAAACACTAAAAGTATAGAAATGGATCATTGAAATGTCTTCTACTTATTCTTGGCCCCATCATCCCACTTCCCATTCCCCATCCTGCACACATTAAACTATTAAAATTAATTTCTTTTTTTTTAAGATAAATGACAATATACATTGACCTACATGTTGCCTTTTTCTACTTAATATATCTTGGACATCTTTTTGTATCAATAGCTGAAGAGCTTGCTCATTTCTTTTTTTACAGCTGCATAGAAATTTTTATAGCTGCATGGACATATCATAATTAACCATAATTTAATTATTCCCTGATAATATACATTTATGTCATTTCCAGGTTATAAACAAAGCAAATATCCTCATTTACAGTGTATGCATGAAAACTTATTTGTAAAGTACATTCCTAGAGGGAGAAGTAGGAAAATGATTTATGCATTTGTAATTTTATTTATTTATTTATTTATTTATTATTTATTATGCATTTGTAACTTTATTTTATTATTATTTTTTAAAGATTTTATTTATTTATTTGACAGAGAGACACAGCGAGATAGGGAACACAAGCAGGGGGAGTGGGAGAGGGAGAAGCAGACTTCCCGCCCAGCAGGGAGCCCGATGCGGGGCTCGATCCCAGGACCTGGAATCATGACCCGAGCCGAAGGCAGACGCTTAACGACTGAGCCACCCAGGTGCCCCGCATTTGTAATTTTAATAGATACTGCCAAACTGTCCTACTTAGGGGACATATCGATTTCTACTTCCAACAGAAACAAATGAATCAACAGTTTCCCCACAGCCTTGCCAACACACTGTGATATTAAACTTTTCATTTTTGCCTATAGATGGGAGAAATGGTGTTTTAGTGTAGTTTTAGTTTGCCTTTAAAAAAACGAGTGAGTGTGAGCATTTTTCAAATGTGTAAAGGCCATTTGTTTTTCTTTTTCTGTTTTGACTGTTCATACCCTTTGCACATTTTAAAATTGTTCTGCACTTTCCCTTATCAATTTACAGGTAGTGTATATGTTATGGAAATTAGCCCTTTTCCTGTTATACGAGATGCAAACATTTCCCCAAGGTTGTCATTTGTCTCTTGTTTATGGTGTTTTATTTCCTGCAGGTGTTTTTGATTTTGACATTAACTTGTCATTTTCTTTCATGCCATCAGGACTTTAAGTCATGTTATAAATGCCTTTCCCACTGAGATGATATGAATTTTCCCTTATTTCTCCTAGAAGTCTGGTTCTTTGACTTCCCACATTTAAATCTTTGAGCCGTCTAGAATTTATCCTGGCACGTATTATGAGATAATGTTCCCCCTTTTTCCCAGATGGCCACCAATTTATGCCAACATCATTTATTAAATTATCCTTCTCTTCCCCACTGCTTTGAAATGCCATCTTTACGTGCTGAAGTCCTGTATGCACCTGCCTCTATCCTTGGGCTTTCTATTCTCTCTGGTTGGTTTGCTGATTGTTCATGTGCCAGGACCCATCTGTGCACATACTAAGCATAGCTGAAAATCAAGCAGGGCTGGCTTTCCCTTGCAGATCCTTCTTTCCAGAGATCTCTTTCCTATCAGCATTTACTGATTCTTTAAATGTGGTTTTCAGTAATTAATAACAGCAACAAAAAATGACAAACAACAAAAATCCTTCCTGTTGGATATTTTTTCGTGATCATATTAAGTTTATAAGTTAACTTAGGAAAACTTGATGATTTTGAATCTTACTCTCTAAAAATATAGTCAGTTCTATTTTTGTTCCATTCTACTCCTTTGTCCTGCAAGAACAGTTAAAGATTTTTGTCAAATTGGTTTTGTTATGTTTCTTCCTAGGTATTTTATCCATTTGTTGCCAATGTGCATGGAGCCTTTTCTTTCACTATATTTTCCATTAGTACGTATGGAGACTTTTGGTTTCTGTATATTAATTTCACAGCTTGCTAGCTTAATGTATTTTCTTATTTCTAGGGGTTTTTGTTTTTAATTGATTCTCTTGATTTTCCAAATAATCATATAATCTACAAATAGGAAAGCCTTGCCTCCTCGTTTACAATATTTATTCCTCCGGTTTCTTTTTCATCTGGTTGCTTTATTTTTAAAGATTTATTTATTTTTGAGAGAGAGAGAGCTAGCACAGGGGTGAGGGGCAGAGGGAGAAGAAGAGAGAATTTTCATTCAGACTCCGTGCTGAGCCCAGGGCTTGACCTGGGGCTCAATCTCAACACCTTGAGATCACGTCCTAAGCCGAAGCCAAGAGTCGGCTGCCCCCACCAACTGTGCCACCCAGGCGCCCCATAGCTTTAGATAGTACCTCCAGAACAGTGATAGTTAATGGAAATAGTACCAAACTGACCTTTTTCTGGCTTCAACAGGAGTTCCTAGTGTTTCCTCAATAAGCCCATGCAGCCTTTTGGTCTAAGACTGACATCTTAAAAAAAAAAAAATCATGTTCATCAGTTTCTCTTTCATTAAGAATCTTTTAAAAATTCAGTACTGGAGATTAAATTGTGATAGGTGATTTTTCAGTATCTATGGAACTGGTTATATTTTCCCTGTAACTTACCAAAATGATGAATCATGTTAATAAATTTCACATCGAATTAGACTTGCATTCCCATACTAACTCCAATTAGTCTTCATACATTCCATCTACTATATTTTATTCAGGATTTTTGCATCAATATTCATAAGGTTGATCTATAATTTTCTTTGTTTCTTATATAAATTCATCTTTTTAGATTTTCCCTCTCTTCTGGAGTTAGATTGGTAAATTATGTTTTTCTTTTTTTTTTTTAAGATTTATTTATTTTAGAGAGAGAGAGCATGAGTGGGAGGGGCAGAGTGAGAGGGAGAGAGAATCTCGTACAGACTCTGCACTAAACATGGAGCCCCATGCAGAGCTGGATCTCACAACCCTGAAATCATGACCTGAGCCAAAATCAAGAGTCAGCCCTTAACCGACTGTGCTACCCAGGAACCCTGGTAAATTATGTTTTTCTAGACATAGATAATCTCATTCACATTTTCAAATGCAATGGCATGGAGCTCAGCAAAGGAGTCCTTTGGTCCTTTTAATTTTCAGTTTCTGTTGTTATTTCCCATCATCATTTCTCCTGTTGTGTACTTTTGATTTCTCTTTCCCTTGCCTAGATTAGGCAGAAGTGTGTTTTCAGGGAGCCAGCTTTGATTTTACTTATTAGTTCTACTCTTTTTTTTGTTTTTGAAATTACTGATTTCAACTTTAGTTTCTATTTTTATTATTCCTTTTCTACCTTCATGAACAGTATGCTGAATACATTTACTTTTATTTTTGTTTATTAATATAATTGTATAAAGACATGAATTTTCATCTAAACACAGCTTTGGCTTATCTCCAGTTCTGAAAGGTGGTATTCACATGCATTTTTCACATTAGCTATTGTTATTATTTATTGTAGAAGTCACTGGAGATTAAGGAAAGAAGTAAGGTTGGGTCCCAGGATGGAGCTAGGTTAGGTGGGCCTTGAGTGGTAGGTGGTAGGTGGCAGGCTTTAGACTTGATGAAAATGGTATTAAGAAGCCATTGGAGGGACACCTGGGTGGCTTAGTTGGTTAGGCATCTGACTCTTGGTTTCCGCTCAGGTCATGATCTCATGGGTTGTGGGATCAAGCCCCAAGTTGGCCTCCAAGATCAATGGGGATTCTGCTTGAGATTCTCTTCCTCTGCCCCTCCCCCCACTCACACATGCTCTCTCTCTCTCTCTAAAATAAATAAATAAATCTTTTTATAAAAGCCATTGGAGGTCTCTGGTTAGGAAAGTAACAAGATGTAAGTGTTGTTTTGAAAATATGTGCATCCACATATTAGTTATCTTGTGTAGTACTTCATCTTTTCCAAAACCATTTTGGATAGGAAATGCCTTTTTTGACAATAATGGAAAAAAGAAGTCGTCTACTTCCTTCTGAACAGTGATGTGCTCTGATCACGTAAATGAACGCCTTCCTGGAACCTCTCATGATTATTTATTTATTTATTTTAAAAAAGATTTTATTTATTTGAGAGCAAGAGAGTGCATGAGCGGGAGGCAGGGGCAGAGGGAGAAGCAGACTCTCTGCTGAGCACGGAGCTCAATTTGGGGGCTCGATTCTAGGACCCCGAGATCATGGCTTGATCTCAAGTCAGATGCTTAATTGACTGAGCCACCTAGGCACCCCTTATGATTATTTTAAATGTCGTACACTTGGCTGAAATCTTTTGTTACTGACTCTGGAGTTTCACATAGGAAGCATCTTTAAATTTGAAGTATATCCTAAAATTAATTGGACCACAAGCAATTATTCATTTCTACTATAGCACTTGATGTTATTTCTCATTTGGAATGTAGCTTTGCCTTCAACACTGTCTTATTTCTCTACTAGATTGTGAATTCCTTACATAAGTACAGTATGTTTTAAGTTCTAGGAGGTTAATTTGTATTTGTTAGTAATTTATTTTACTTAAAACTACTCATATAATTATAGAATTCTCACAATGTGCATATGCATGATTGAAATACTCCAAAATTATTATCTGCCTTGTCTGTATATTATCCCTAATCATATTCAACATTTCCGGTTGTCTCATTATCCTAAATAATCTGTGCTTTATCCTGCTTTCTATTATTAGAGCAACTAAATTAGTATGTGTTGTACCATATCCATGATCTCTTTTATTTGATTTTTGTGTCAAGGGCTAATAATTCCCACTCCTACTGATTTTGTTGGGGAAGGCAATATGACCATGAGAAACTATTTTCTAGACTCCTCCATGGGTAAGAGTAGCCATGGAAATAATTTCTGGCTGCTGGGATGTAGATAGAAGTTACTGAGCAGAACGTTCCTGCCTGGAATTTGGAGGTCAAGGCTGGAGGAGGAGGTTCTTGCATACAGAAATGATGGAAGGCCACAAAGTGTGAATAAGATGAGCCACCTAATTTGCAGAGGGCAGCACAAAATGAAAGTGAGGGGCCCTTGTTCAACAGTTACTAATAATGAAAAAATGCCAGCAGCAGAGCATTAACCCTAGTGCTGGGCCCTTCTCGGCATGGGGCCCAATGAGACAGCACAGGTCCCATGCCCATGAAGCTGGCCCTGGTGTGAAGGAGCCTGGGGCCCTGGGATGTCCTGGAGCTGCCATGTCAGCCTGGACTGCTGTCTGCTCTTCCTCTAATGGAGAGCACAACCCCCTTCTTCTTTAAGGGGGTTATCTCAGTTTTCTGTTATGTGCCTTCCACAACTAATGTGTTGTGATTACCCTCATTTTACAGATGAAGAAACTGAGGCTCAGACAAGTTTAGTACCTGGTTCTGGTAGGCCATTTGGGGTGTGGACTCGGGCCCTGCGAATTGGGTCATGTACTCTTGGGTCAACACGGTGTCTTTCCTTTCCTACAGAGATGGTATCATTGTACATTTCCTTTTTCCAGCAAGACTTCGCACTCTGCAGGTTTGCTTGTCTCCCAGGGGCCCCTCTTTGTAGTCTATTAATAGGAGGAGGGCAGCACTTCATCCCACTGATTTTTCCTCCTTCACATTTAATTTGTACTCTGGAGTAGACAAGATGCAGAATCTCAGTCCGGATTTAAAATATGGCCCCCAAAAAGTGATTCACTTCCATCTCTAGCAAAATGTTTATAGCTTATTCCTCTCCCTTTGCAGATAAAGAGTTAAGATCTTACATAATTCAATTAAAAAAGAAACTCAAAATATGTGAAATCCCATCTGATGTGGGTTTCTGTCTGCTTGACCCTTCAAGAGGAAAGCATGTACTGGCGGTCCTTCCAGTGAGATCCCAATCAGGAAAATGCAGCTAGAACTTATTCCTTTAATGGTGCATCAGGGTAAATAAGTGTTTACTGCCCTTGGACATTCTCATCTATGATCATGGGAAGCACTGTGGCCGCTATGAATTCTTTGATTAGCACACAAGCTTTGGCTGCCACTTCACCTGCTTGGGGACCCCATGTGACACAGGTGTTGTATTTGCTAGACTCTGAGATGATTGCAGTTTGGCTGAGCTCTAACATAAGCACCCAACCTTGGTTAACATCCACAAGTCAACATTCTGGACCACATCATGGGTGGTGTTGGGGTGGGGGTGGACACAGCATGTCTTCACAGGTAATTACAGTGCATCATGCGGGAGGCTGGCAATGGCATGTGGCAACCCACTTCTCTCCCTCTTTATAGGAGGAGAGAAAATTCTTTATCTTCCCTAAGAGGAAGAAATTCTAGTCTGTTCAGTCAGATTCCAGGGCAGTGAATGCTGGGTATTTCCCAGTAGGCACAATAACTGTACATGCTTCCCCTCTTTCATTTGGTAAGAGGGCCAGGGTCCCTATTAAACTAGGCCCAGGAAGGTAATGCATGGATGCTGGGGAGGCCCAGTGGCTCAGAGGCTAGAGATCAGACCTGGATTTAGGTTGAAGCCCCTACTTAGCCCTTGACTTCCAAACTGATGTTACCATACACCTTGCAATGGGGTGTCAGGCATACTTGTGATTGTCCCATTTGTGATTGTGTGGCCCTCAGGAGGTCCATGGAGGACAGGACTCTGGTGTTCCTGGGTCCTTCACTAGAGCATAATTTTTTTTTAAAATTTAAATTCAATTAGCCAACATATAGTACATTTTTAGTTTTAGATGTAGTGTTCAATGATTCATCAGTTGCGTATAACACCCAGTGCTCATCACATCACGTGCCCTCCTTAGAGCATCATTTTAATATCCAAATCTTACCATAAGCTTGGGCCCTCTGGTTATGGTGAAGTATTAAAAATTGTTGGTATAATGAAGGTCTCATGAAGTACTAGTCTGTGAAACTTAGTGTAAGGATTGAATTGTGTCCTTTCCCACCCTCCATTCATTTGTTGAAGTCCTAACTCATAGTATGTCAGAATGTGACTATAAAGAGGTAAAATGGATCACTAGAACCCTAATCCAGTATGACTGGTGGTGTCCCTCAAGAAAGGGAACTTTGGGGATAGATATACATAGAGGGAAGACAATGTAGATACCCAGAGTGATGGCTGTGTTTGAGCAAGGAGAGAATCCTGGAACAGATCCTTCCCTTGCAGCCCTCATAAGGAACCAACCTGCTGATACCTTGATTTCAGTTCTAGCCTGTTCTAACCATACATTTCTATACTTTAAGTTACTTGTTTGTGATATTTTGTTATGGTAGCCCTAGCCAACTGATGGGCTTGGCCAGCAGGCTGGGCAACCCTAAAAACCATGGATAGATGTGGGAAGACCACTCTGCAATATTTGAAGTTGTCACCACACCTATTCCTCCGCTGTTCAAAGACAGGAGCATTAATGACATTTGCTTGACTGCAAGAAGCTCATAAATGTTTGCCAGCAACCATACTACTTACCTGGAATAGGTAGATGACTTCAGTCTCACATCTGCTTTTTTAAAATAAGGAAATTTAGGACAGGTTTTTTGTGATCTGCAGTTTGGTCACACAGAGGTCAGGTCAGTGTGGTAAAGTGGAATAGATTGGAGGCTTCCAAGTCTTATTTATTGATGAGAATTCTGATTCTCAATAGGAAGTTGCTATACTTGTTTTAGTCCTGAAATACTTAAAACAGTGCTTGGCACACGGTAGATGGTAAAAATTATAACTATTACGATTCGTGTCCAACTCTGGAAAAGGATTGCTTTTTTGAAGTTAGCAGTCAGAGGGGAGTGTCTGCCCCTTGAAATCTGTACACTTTTGGTGTGCTTAATAAAATATTTCTAATGACCTTTTGAGGTCTGAGCATGTTGCCTTGAGCAATCTGGGTTACATTTTTAACTTTTTACCACATTATAAATAAATCTCCTTTGAAAAGAATAACAGACCTTCACCATCTGGTGGTTGGCCGATGCAAAAATATTTCTTGAACAAATCAAAAACACACAGTGTTTTATGAAAGAGGTTGATAAAATAAGGAAAATAGAAATCTAGTATCTCCAAGGTACTAGATAAATATCTTAACCATTGAGCATTAAAGTTCCAATATATGACAGAGATTTTACCATTATGTTTGTGAATAAGCAACCTGAGCATCATAAAAATATGGTTTGTAAAGGTACTGAAGAGTTTAATTCACTAAACAGGAAATATTATATCACCCTGTATTTGCATACTAAATTTTTTTACCATCTTTTTTTTTTTTTTAAGATTTTATTTATTTATTTATTTATTTATTTATTTATTTATTTGAGAGAGAGAGTGAGAGAGCGAGAGAAACAGCATGAGAGGAGATAGGGTCAGAGGGAGAAGCAGACTCCCCACCGAGCCGGGAGCCCGATGTGGGACTCGATCCCAGGACTCTGGGATCATGACCTGAGCCGAAGGCAGTCGCTTAACCAACTGAGCCACCCAGGCGCCCTACCATCTTTTTTTTTTTTTTAAGATTTCATTTATTTATTTGAGAGACACAGAGAGAGAGCACGAGAGGTGGGGGGAGGGGCAGAGGAAGAGGGAGAAGCAGACTCCCCGCTGAGCAGGGAGCCTGATGCGGGGCTCCATCTCTGGACCCTGGGATCATGACCTGAGCTGAAGGCAGATGCTTACCTGACTGAGCCACCCAGGCACCCCCTGCATTCTAAATTTTCTGGCTTCTGAGTTACTATTGAAAAAATGGCTTCAAGTAGGTACTTTTTGTGGATTTGCAAACCACTGGAGAACTGGATTTGTCCTTTCTTTCTAAAGACAAGATCCCAGACTGCCTATTAATCTAGAGTAATGAATATATATTCAATAAATGTTGTTGAATGAACCAACGTGTGAGTGCTTTTCTTGGGTTTCTATAGAATCAAGAGAGAGAAGGCAACATATTAGTAAAGAATAAACATTTTTACTTTGAAACAAAGAAGGCAATTTATTGTAGTGAGATTACATTAAAATTCTATATATGATCCCCAGTGCATATAAAGTAATTTCCTGCACACTGTTGGAGAAGACATTACTGAGTCACAAAGAAACTCAAAGTGTTATAAATCAGTTAATATTGATGTATTGCATTTTTATTCATCTATCCAAATTGAAAATGAGATGATTTAAAGGACACATTTAAGTATTTTTCATAAATTTTAACGATGGCTTTTGCATTTCCTGGAGTTTGTAATGCCTTTGATAACTCAAAACACAGAAGTCTATTCCTTGCAGTCTGTTCCTTTTTCTTACCATGGTGAGTAGTTATCACAAAGCTGCTTAGGGAGTAAACTTCTAATAGATTTAAATGTTTTCCCCTAAATGGAGTTTGTGGAAAATATGAAAAATGGCATGATATTGGAGGTAACAAAAAAATAGAAGAAAAATTGTTTTTGAACACTAACCAATAGAAAAGTGCCCCAGGAGGCAGAGAACAGCAGTGCCGTTGACCACAAGTTCACAGACAAATATACACATACCCATGTAGACATCTTTGCACTTAACACCTTATCTTCAGTACATCTTATACACTTGCTACATGTTGCACAAGTTCAGGCACACAGACACCACCTGAGTGCGCTTGCATAGCTAGCCCCACTGAGGAGGGCTCTACACAGCTTCTCTAAAGGAGCTTATTCTTGACTTTTTTGAAAACAGAGTCTAAAGCAGTTCTTCGTACAGTCATGTATTTACAGAGATACCACAAGCCATGTCATGGTGTCTGGTCTGCCTTCCTAAATGTAGGATTCTTTAGCATACTGGAATTGGTCAGCCTCAAAGACCGGCTGACTACATCGCCGCACTAAGTGGTCCAGCTTAGTCTTCTGATTTGACTCAGATATAGTTCTTAGCCGGTACAGCTCTGGTCTCCCTGTGACAGTCACTTGTCCTATCGTTTCAACAGAAGCATGGACAGTCCTGCTCTGTTTCCAACTCTCAGTCCTGGGAGATAGTCTGTGCCTATCAAGTGGCTCTTGACTGCATATATCTTTTGAATTCCCTCCATGGTGAAAAGGTAGGAGAGGTGGTAGTTGAGTGTCCCGGCGGAGCATTCTAGCCCTCATGCTGCCAACTGTTTGGCCCCCGTGGGCCGAGAGGTCCAATGCCTGGCACCGAATGGCCTCTTCATAAGATGGCGGACTCCCAGGGCTTCTCTGATCCACTTGCTGGACCACATCCTCGACTGAGAGGGCATAGGATCTGGAGCTAAAGTCTAGAGCTGTTTGGCCCTGGATTTCAGACAAGTTCTCTTGGATGATTCGCCCAGCAAGCTGGCTTTCTTTTTTAAAGCCTTTCTTTACTTGGTCTCTTGTAAAGCCTTTGGATTTCACAGACACAGAGCTGGGGGTTTTGGTCAACACTCTTTTGTGAGAGGCAAAAGAGAATGACATGGAATGTTTTTTAATCTCTCTGTTGGGTTTACTTTTCTCTGCCTTTGTGAAAGACTGATGTCTGGTGAAGAAATTTCTTTTGGGACTGGAAGGAGAAGCCACGGGGGAGCTGTCAGAGGAAGCATCCAGAGAGCCACTGGAGGAGGCTTTGGGCGCCAGTCCCCACAGTAACCCCAAACCCTGAGTCGAGTTCCTCACCTTCAGGTCCTGTGGCCTCTGAGTTTTGCCTTCAACTGCAGGAAACACCTCCTCTGGAAATGGGTCTTCAGCTTCCTCACCTTCCAAACAAGCCCCTGCCTGGGCCATGGTGAAGTCATCCTCACTTCGTGTTAGTTTTTGGTGAGTTTTCTGGCTCTCAAGGCTCTCCTGTGAGGATGACATGCTGGGCTCTGAGTAGCTCCTGTCTGGTTCCCTGAGGGAGTTTTTCAGCCTGGCTACAGTGCTGACAATGGGCTCTGGGCTCAACTCCCAAGCGAGCTGCAGGCCTCTGGGCTCCCAGCTGGCAGCTGTCTCCAAGGGCACCTGGGGCCGCCTGTTTGGGGATCTGATGGCACCGCTGGATTCCATGTCAGGATCATTGCTGTCATAGGCTGAGTCATTCTGCAGCGTTGACATGTCTGGAGGAAGTTAAGGGACAGTTGAGTTTCTGGGTCAGTTTCTTGGAGAAATAAACTTTAGTACCATTCACCCTACTTGTATCAAGTATGGCACTAGGTAATCTGGTGAAGCTACTGGGGCCTTGATACGAGAGAAATCTGTCACATTAAAATTTTGTTTCTTTCCTAGTTTGAGGTGCAGAAGAGAAGTAGGAAAAGGAAATACAAGTGAGAGAATGAGAATGAGAAAAGAGACAAAACAACATTTCATTGAACATTTGTTGATCTTAAATTTAAAAATTAATCCTTTGGATGGCTCTTTGATTGGATCCATTCCATTTTAATGGACCCATATCCTATTATGTGGAAACAACCCTCCAGCTAAAGGTAATTTAATAAAATTAGCAATTCTTTATGATTCAGAAAGAAGCTGAAGGAGAGTCAGCTGAATGAGAAGGCTGCAGGAAAATTTGAGAGCAAGTTTCCATGTTAATGGCACCCTATGAATTTGATTTGGTGACTTGTGCAGGTGACTTGCGCTTCAAATGCCAGAGATACTTTACGTTACTGGCATGGACTGGCAGACTGGAATGGACGTCCCCCCACAATCATAATCAATCAAGAACACATTCAGTACCTGAACTGTCAGTGTGTTCCAGGGAGTCATCAGAAGCAGTACTGGAATGTGCCGGGATGTTCTCCCCAAATATTTCCAAGCAGTTATCGATCAGGAATTCCACCAATGTTTTAACCTGTGAGGAAAAAGAAGCAAGTTGTCAGCCTAAAGACGTCTTTCATTCTTTTAAGGGAAGAGGGGAAGGAATGGGGATATAATGAGGGCCCACTGTTAGGGAGGTGCCAAAATGAGCATATGAGATCTTTATGTTTTTGAAAAGAACATATAGAAAATTGGTAAAAGTCATATATATTGAAGTTATTTTTGGGACATGCATTTTTTGAGAATTATAAAAAAAACCCTCTGACTAAAATTTTCACTTAAGTAAGGAGTTTCCCAAACTGATAGTTGGACTGACAGAGTGCAATGCACAAATGAAAAAAAACCCAACCAAACAAAGGGGCTTTTCTATCCTAGGAGACAATGAGACTTAGTCTTAACAAAGGACACCTTTGAAATCCTACGAGACAGGATTGTTCCATTTCATTAAATGAATAAATCTAAGAGAGCAGAACTATGACAAAAGCATTTTGCATCTCATATTTCACTGTGAGCTTGAGTCAGCCAGAGAGACTCAGAGGCATTTTATCACTTGGCTTTTTCAAACAAACGGTGAGATCATACATTGGGAGTTTCTCAGACAGAGACTGGAACAAACCTTGTTGTTCAAGTCTTTCTGGGCTTCGAAAGACAGGTGTTGGTCATTCTCTTGGGTCAGCATGTTGGGTCCGACGCAGATAGCTAGATTGCTGGCATCCATCTTATTGATCTCGGAGTTCTTGCTGATAAGGTAGAGCACGGAGATCAGGTGCTTGAGCAGCAGGAGGTTGGGCCGGGGGAGCTTATCTGCAACCCTGGAATGAGGTTCAGGAAAGCTGGTTTTAGAGGACTAATGTTCTATCTCAGTTTTAGTGTAGCAAGTTGAAAATTTCTGCTTAACCCAGACTTCCTTCAAAATGAGGAAGGTGCATTTTCATCAGTAAGATTGTGAAATGTTCATTCAGACACTTCCAGTGGCAACTGATGTGGAATGAAACTGGTTAACCATGAGATCTTAAAGACCTAAGACACTGGTTCTTTATAATTAGGACACCGATAACACAGCCCTTTATTATTTGTATAGATCTTACATTGGGAAGCCTTAACTTCTGCAACAAACTCCATAGTCGAATACATTTTGAAAACTGCTTTGTAGAACAATCGTGTAGCCAGGCAGAATGTCTTTTTTTTTTTAATTTTTTAAAGATTTTATTTATTTATTTATTTGAGAGCGAGAATGAGAGAGAGAGAGAGCATGAGAGGGGGAGGGTCAGAGGGAGAAGCAGACTCCCCACCGAGCAGGGAGCCCGATGCGGGACTTGATCCCGGGACTCCAGGATCATGACCTGAGCCGAAGGCAGTCGCTTAACCAACTGAGCCACCCAGGCACCCTAGAATGTCTTTCTAACACTGCAAGACTGGTATTTTGGGAGCACGATCATTTGCCTTTCTTGATCTGTGACCATCACACAAAGATGACCCATTTTTATGCCATTCTGAGAAATCTTTATGGAGAAGAAATCAGTTTCTAAGGGCATGTTCATAAATGTGGTCAGGTCAGCACTTAAACGGGAACATTGGTACAAAGGATAATAAATGAGATGTGTAAAGCCTCACTTTTTCAAAATCTGCAGTGGTGACTCTAATGTAGGGAACGTTTTCACTTCTCGTTAAGTTACTATTATGGAAGAGCTTAGTGCCTTTAAGGAGAAACTTGCGGTTATCTTAGGATTTTCAATTTGGGACAGATACTCTAATGCCTTTAATTCAGTAACTATTCCACTAGAAATATTTAGCTGCGTGGGACAATCATAACAAAGAGACAGACTTTCATAACATTTGGCAAAAGTGCTGATATTTTGAAATTAGGGGTTTGAGATTGTCTAGTTGCTAACAGGTTACAGTTTCATTTACAAATGTAATCGTTTTTGTTGTCTTTGGAATTTGTTTATATAGAGTTTTCATTTTGGTTAATTAGAAGAATATGAACTATGCTGTGGAATTTTATGATCAAAACAATCCTTTCCCGATTGTTCTCCTGTGCTTTAAGGGATGTTTTATGGGGGAATTTTTGCCTTGCCTGACACAAACCTTTTAGGTTAAGGATAACCCCACGTTCCTATACTTGGCCACCTAGCCTGTTTTGAGGCTTCCATCTATGGTTTTGTCTCATACCTTCTTGAACTACTTATGTTTTAGACTCTTCCATCTCTTGAGGTTTGTGAATATTGAAGTTCACTTTCTACTCTTTGAAAAAGCGCTTCCTTTCCTTTGGTTAAAACTACTTTAAAAGGAATGTCCAGGGTACCTCGTGATTTTTATTCTGGGAGTAGATAAATAATTCCACTCTGATTCCCTAAACACATCAATGTTCCTGAAACACTCAGAGAACTGTGTGAAGAATCAGAAGATGGAGACCATGTGGGCCTGGCCTCTGGCAATGACTCTGGCCACTTACTGTTTCAGGGCCTCAATTCTGTCCTCTTCATTCTGCCTCTCCAGCGCGTCCATCCACTCCTCAAACAGGTCACATGAAAGTAGCTTCTGTGGGATACTTCTGAGGAAGTCCTGCAGGGTGAAAGGGGGATGGTTGGGCCTGGTTGGGTTACATCATGCGCTGGCGTCTTCATCTTCCCCTTGTCTGGTCCAGCTCAGGGACCCTCTGATCATCCTACCACAGGCTGTGCCCCCTTCCTTCCTGCATTTGAACACTCTAGGGAAATCTCTCGTAGCAACTTCCTGACAATGGACAGAGTGAGGCCATCCTCTGAGGGGCTCCCAGCTTCAGGAGCATGGACTTGGCCTTTTCTCATAAGAATTTGGGGAGAACGTACTGTATCATTTTCTGTTGGAATCTGAGATCGTAGACACAGAGATGTTTATATAAGAAAATAAAAGGCTTCACTAAAAAACTTAAACTCCAAGATCAGTTTACTTTGATTTGTAGGGCGAAGGGCCTGTTTCTTATTCCCAGAGACGTAACGTGTCTGAGCCCATTGGCAGATTTTTGGCAGCAATGCTGTGACCTCACCTTAAAGACCACAGCCAGAAGGTGCACAGGGAGACTTTTCAGATCTACCATGCCTCCCGAGTTGAGCTCCTCCTTGATCTCTTTGCGGGCTTTCTCATTGGCTGCTTTCCTGAAGATCCCTTCCGTGGATGGTCCTTTAAGGCACAGAATAGTGAGAATATCCTGTAGGAAAGAGATGTAGGAATAGGAAAAGGTTACCCTTACTTTGAATACATGAACCCATGTGAGGCTACTACTACATGAAAAGTCGATGTTTAGGTATTAAAACAGTACATATGAACAGTAGCAAACTTCACCTGTCATAGATAATCCTCTCCATAAAAGATAGGTCTCTGTGATACCAACATGGTCTTTACAAGAGACCATGACTGCCAGGTTTTCACAGCCCTATTGCTATCAACCTCCTCCCTCCACTCTGCTATTTTTCTAAGAGGAGGTAAGTTGTGAATGCTCTAATTTTGTACATTCTAGAATCATTTCCGGTCTCTCTTCTTTCAAGTCATTCTATATAAACACTGGATTTCTGATCATATACTTTATACCCCATCTCTATCCATTGACTTCTCAGAAGCTACACATCTTTTAGCATTCTTAACTCTACGAAGTCAGGAGGATGGACGGTTGGATTTCTAGAATGTAAGCAGTTAGATAGTCTCCTGACTGCACTCATATGTGGAAACACCATTTCCAAAAGTGGAAAAACCTACAGATTGGCCCCAGCAAGGATTTTTCACATCTGACAAAAACCTGAAGTAGGTTTGAGAGTACATGCACCTACCTGAATGGGTCTGGGGAGTGTGTCATCCTCACCACAGATGATTGACAAGGGCTGATCAAATAGTGATGTTTTTAATTCAGGTTCTGAAGCCCCAGAAAAATCTGACACAGCAGAATGTCTTCTCATGAGAAAGGGCCAGGACAGCACCTTCTTTCTTTTCTTAATTTCTATAGCCAGGAAAACAAGGCCAAGAGAAAATTAGATTCATAATTGTTGAATTATTAAATAATTATTAAAGATCCATATAAGACCATGGATATTGTCAGCCACATAATGTCATCTATGGTATGCCACGGGGGTGGGGGTGGGGAACAATTTTGAAAAACTGAGAAAGCAAAGGGCATGAATTTTAATCTAGAAAAATGAACCCGAAAAGCAAACACATCGTTACCAGAGCAACCAGCCCCTAAATATCAACACCCAGGTTCCTCAAAGTCTCCACCTTTCCTGTTTTTACTCTTCACGGCTGTTTGCTACAGAAAATCAGCAAAACTAGCCGAGCAGATCACAAACAACCATCTTCATATATTGACCTTAATAACTATAGTGGGTTTTTCTGATGCGAAATAGATTATTTTAATTTTCTCCTTTGAGTGGCAGAGGAAACAAAACTTAAAAGGAGAGGAAGTGACTTGCTCAAGATCTTTTTTTAAACTGAAGTTTAGTTGACATAGAATGTTACATTAGTTTCAGTCACGATGGGAGACAATATGGAGTTTCCTCAAAAAACTAAAACAGAAATACCATATGATCCAGTCATTAAACTAGGTTTTACCCAAAGAAAAAGAAAACATTGATTCAACAAGATTATGCACACCACTATGTTTATTGCAGCATTATTTACAATAGCCAAGAAATGGAAGCAACCAAAATGTCCATTGATAGATGACTCAATAAAGAAGACGTGGTCTATAAATACAGCGGAATATTACTGAGCCATAAAAAAGATTGGAATCTTGCTCAAGATCATTTTGACTGCCCTTAGCGGGGCGGGCCAGTACACCTCCGCAGCCACACTAGCATCAACCAGCCACTAGAGGGGGCTACAGCAGTCTGCAGTTCCCCTCAGGATTCCCCCAGCGCCCCCCGCCCAGGGTGGGGGTTGCTTGAGGACAAGGGCTGGCACAAATTGCCTCAGAAAGGCGTGAACCTAGACTAGGCAGTTGGGAATTATCACAAAAACGTTAGTGAGATGTTCTGTCTTTGCAAAATCCTGAAGACGTGTGTGCAATGGATATCGCATCTCACGCATTTCTTTCTTTCTATTCTCCTTCATTTTCCTTCTCTTGTTTCCCCCTACATATGAAAGCTCTGTTTTCTAATGCACTGCACTAGGTTTCCACACTGGCAAGTGGAAGAGGATGGCTGGAGAAGTGGCTTGTCCCTTACAGTTGAGGAGAACTGGGTCGCGGTTATGTAATACAAAACACATCATGAAAACATTGAAGAGTGAATGGTGGGTTCCTGGGAATTGGAGATCAGCACCAATTGCTTCATGGGTTCTTACATTCATTCCTTCATTAGAGAAGGAAGAAAGGGGAAAAGGAATCATCTGTTTTTCATATGTATGCCTGCTTTAGTTGTCAAAACAGAAGTGGCTAGGAGATCTGACCCCACTAAAATTACTCCTCGGAGAGCTGGGGCCTTGGCTGTAGGAAGATCTTTCCTGTCAGAGTGCTCTGATGCTCTGGTGAGCTGGAGTCTGCTGGCCATTTAAGTGTTAATGTTCTGCGGTCTTTAGAAGAACACTTAAAAAAAGAAATTCCTAGTAGGGTAAAGTACTGTGGTTTTGCAAACCAAGAACATTTGTTGTTAGCACTTACATAAAAGACCAGTATGTTTTCAAAACTCACCAATTAGCTGGCTAATATTATCTTCACTCTCACATGATGCCAACAGAGGATGTTCCTTGATATCGTCCTAAAAATATATTTATTTTTGTTAAAAATGACTGAAGAGATCTACCCAGTCTTTCCCCACAAAATACGTGGACAACATTTTATTCATATTAAAAATTAGTAAAGTCCAATGATCTTTTTCTAGCTTCTAGAATCAGTAATAAAGTCTTGATTGTCATCATATAAGGTCCCAATTAATGTATTTAATTAGCTACATTTAGGATGTTAGTTTTCTACTCTGATAATTATACAATCCAAACAACACTCCATAAAAACAGAAAGTTTTCCATGTTCTCACAGTGCAGATGAAAAGTTTTAAAAATTGCTCTCTTACCTCTGACTGACATTCGATCAATGTCTCCATATTATTGGCATTTAGTGTTTTTGACTGAAAGAGAAAAAATTAAATTAGGTAAAGATCGTTTGGCTATTACCTCTGGCAAATATGAATCAAGAAATATAAGAGGGGTACTTACAGCATTGCAGCTGCTTATCAACTTCATTAGATTTTGGGCTGACTGTCCAGGGATGAATTTTGCTCCCGTGTGGACTTAGCTCTGCCTGTGAGAAATCATATGGGAGAGAGTGAGGAGGGAGACACATGATAAGTTGGCCAATTTCGGTGCCAAAACACAAAATCTGAAACTATTAGATAGAAAAGTTTTCATTTGAAGTCTGTGATATGTTTCCAGATGTCTCCGGCTATTAAGGATGCACCTGAACACACTTATTTCTAAATTTTTTAAACCTGATATCTTTACCATGCCAAACTTTGTTATTCATTTATTCCATTCCCACCAAGAGATAATCTAACAATCATATGATAACTAACGTTTTTCTGGGGGGAGGAGCTCACGTTGTCAGGTACTGTATTATGTGCTCTGCATGGATTAGCTCCTTTAACCCCCAGAGGAAAAAACTTATTCCAAGAATGCTACTTGCAGTAAACATAAAACAAAGTTAACGTTGACAGAATTCTTATACCGAAAGAGTGCAGGCTTCACACTGAAGGAAAGCTTTCAGTGCTCAGCGTCTTTAACATTATTTGCTGCATGTTTTGGGGTACAGCTGTTTTCTGTTGGAGGTGCTCTCAAAGACCAGTGATTTGCCAGCTAGCTAATTTTCCAGTTATGTTAATTTATGGTACTCACCCTCGGAGGGCCTCCAGCCAGAGTTCTCTTATCTCCGGGGGAACAGTGCAGAATGGGAGAAACAGCATAACACTCTGCTCCTACTAATCCACCGATAGAGAGAGGAAGACTGAACTGCTCTAACTTCACGTGTTCTGCATTATAAACGAGAGGGGGCGGGCAGGTGGAAATTCAGAATATTACTGAGACCGGAAAGAACATCATGGGTTGTCACCCAGACATAGCTAGACAGACACTGTGGGGAGCTCTCACTTCCTCATTCCTTTTAGGGCAGCTCTGGTTCTTTTTCTTCTTCTAACACTTCAAAGTAAAAAAAAAAAAAATCTATAAACTAGTAAGGGTGGAAAAGATGACATATGGCCCATAGGTGAAGGCTCTGATTAATGTCACAGGTGGGATGTGTGAATAAGAAATTGTGTTATTCTGTGATAAACATAATTTTATTTTGTAAAGTGGTGATTTCAGGTGCCCTTATTTTGTATCCTGTTTGGGCGCTCTCTCCCCTCCCACCCACCATCCACTCCGTTCATCAGTCACCATACATTGCCTGGCAACCCTCTGGGTGCAGGATGCTCTTCCTCTAAGGAGTCCCAGACACACTGCCTTGTTTGAGAAATGGTCACCATCAGTTTCCTTTGGAATTAGGAAGAGTCCTCTAAAGTCAGCTGCCAAGATATAACCCCCTTCTCCTTTCTCTAACTCCTAGTTAAAATTGTTAATACTTAATTTGTAGTTTGACCATCTCTAGTCCTGACATGGAAGGAAAACCAAAAATTCCTTTAAAAAAAAAGATTTTATTTATTTGAGAGAGAGTGAGAGAGAGAGAGCACAAGCAGGGGGAGGAGGTGCAGAGGGGCAGAGGGAGAGGGAGAAGCAGACTCCCTGCTGAGCAGGGAGCCCGACGTGGGGCTCGATCCCAAAGTCCTGGGATCTGACCTGAGCTGAAGGCAGACACTTAACCCACTGAGACTCCCGGGCACCCACCAAAATTCCTTTGATCAGACCAATTTCAAGTAGAAAGGAGATGGTGAATTTCATCTGTGGATCTTTCCTTCTGGATAAGAGAAAATCTCTGGTCTTTTCTGTGGCTAAAAGGCTATATATAAGATGACTCGAGTACCTGAGAAGCAGAATGTGGCATCCATTGTGACATCTTCACACAGTGGAGTGTTATATAGCACTGAGACTGTGTGGTCTATAACTACATCCAACAGTGTGGCTGGGTCTCACCATACAACGTTGAGCTAAAGAAGCCAGACACAAAAGAGTATACCTTGCATGCAAAGCAAAGTCATCCATGCTGTTAGGAGCCAATCTGTGCCATTATACCAGTATCCTTGGGGTGGGTAGTGACCACCAGAGGCCAGAGAGGGCTTCGTGATGCTCCATCTCTTGATCTGGGCGCTGATCATCTCAAGTTCACATTTCTGCATATGTGTTATTCTTCGACAAAAAATTAAAACTACCTTGTCTTAATTCATCATCAGAAGGCTTTAATTCCAAGACTTTCTCAGCTTGATAGCTCTCTTGTCTCTATACCAAAAGGAATACTGATTAGGTGTTCTTCAGGAACCTGGAGCACAGAGCAGTTCAAATTTGCCCCCTAACTCAGTGTTTCGGTGGGCGGCGTTCAGGTCTCCAGCTGGAGGCTCCCTCTCTGAAAACTGCCACACAGCCGGAGTTTCTAGCTGTGTCCCCGCAGAGTCTGTGCACGTTACTGCCTTTCGTCCTCTCTCCTGCCTTTACGAACCTTCAGAATGACTCACTGACTTTTTTTTTATTACCAAAAAGGTCATATATGCTGTTCCTAGCCTAGAGACAAGCAGGTAGTAGGTACTCGGGAAATAATTTCTGAACAAATACATTTACATATAAAATAGTCCTTCTTTACACTAATATGTATTTCATGAACTTTTTTTCATTTGGCATACTTTTTGGGGTTTTCTAAGAAATTTCATGTTGGCATTGCTTTAACTAATGCATCAGTCCTCAATCTAAATATTTCAAATGAAGACCATATTTTTTTCTTCTTTCTATTATGCACTATACCCCACAATACACATTCTATAGTGGTTTAAAAACTGTTTTTGTTTTTGTTTGGCCATGCAATTCTATGTTCAAAGGAAGATGAACCCAGAATCCTGATGCATAAAATGTGAAAGAACAATTTTTAAGGGGCGTCTGGGTGGCTCAGTTGGTTAAGCATCCGATTCTTGATTTTGGTTCAGGTCATGATCTGAGGGTCGTGGGAATAAACCCCACTTGGGCTCTGCACCCGTGGGGAGTCTGCTGGAGTCCCTCTAATGACACAAATGCCATCAAAATATGGCAACGGAGAAAAATGAGGAAGTTTGTTGGACAGAAGAAAAGTGCTAATTCCCTTTGGATATGTAATCCCAAAGCTTTTTGAATTTAAAAAAAAAAATCCTTATTTAACTTTTAACCATCACCAATGGGCCCTGGAAAACATTTTTTTTAAACTAATCTATACCCAACATGGGGCTCAAACTCATGACCCCAAGATCAAGAGTCGCACGCTCCACCAACTGAGCCAGCCAGGCGCCCCCCTAGAACTTTGTGAATTTTTAAGTGAGATTTAGTTTTTGCTGGGGTATTATTTTTTTTATTATGTAGAGAATCATGTTTATAAATTTATTATGAAATATACTAAGAATTAGACCTAACTAAACATGTATATTTCAGTAACAACTCTTGAAAGAGGAATAACGGTTTATATGTCTGTTAATGCTATTGTGGTGACTTTGGACATTTATAAAGAAGAAGTGATTAAAATGCAAATGCTATAAATTACATTGGGTATAAAATTTCCTGTAACCTAGTTTAATGTTCTTCTTCCTCTCTCCTCCTCCCCTTCTTCTTCCTCTTCTTATTCTGGGATTGAATTATGGGACTAGATGTGGACATTTGTTGACATTGAATTTCAGGGCTGAATAGGGTTTAAGTGAGCAACTAATTTAATGTCCTGTCCCTCTTTTGATGTTTTTACCCCTGCGGCACCCCACCAAATTGTCTCTTTATGGTTGTTCTCGAAGTTTTCCCGTGCTAAGGGAATAAGCTCTTCTCTATTCTGGCAGAAGGCTTCTGCATATGTCAGAGGGGAGGCCACCTTCCAAAAACTCTCCTGTCTTAAATCCCATCCCATTCTGAGAGAGAGTTTTCAGCTTCCTTTGCTCAGCCCCTGCCACCCCCACCTACCGCCTCAAGCATACAAGCCTCTCTTTTTGAAATGAAATGACCCCCAAGCCTTCATTGTCCCAGTAGGAAATGTTCTTTTTAAACATCGCCTTGGTTTTGGGCATCCATCCTTAGCTCTGCATTCTGGGGTGTGAGACCTACTTATTTAACACCTATTATGTGCTGTATACTCTGCAGTATTTTCAAGTATCTTATCTTACGTAATGACTGAAACAATGCTCTGAGTATGTCATTCTCTGAGGCTTACAGATGAAATAGCTGGGGCTCCACAGGTCAGTTAGCTCCCCCAAGGTCATGCCGCTGGGTTTGAACCTGCTCTTTCCAGTTTCTCTCAAGGATAATCCTTGAAGGGATTCATTTATAAATGGAAATAAGATGTCTAGACCTATTCTCTCCATTTATGCCAGATGAGTCCTGGTGAATCCTTCTAGGGAACTCTTTTTACCTAGCACGAAGAGTCAGATTTGGGCCTTGTCCTGAAACTTCAACTCTCCTTCCATTAGTTTCTTTCTTTCTTTCTTTTTTAAAAAAAAAAAATATATATATATTTTAAAAGATTTTATTTATTTATTTGAGGGAGAGAATGAGATAGAGAGAGCATGAGAGGGGGGAGGGTCAGAGGGAGAAGCAGACTTCCCGCTGAGCAGGGAGCCCGATGCGGGACTCGATCCCGGGACTCCAGGATCATGACCTGAGCCAAAGGCAGTTGCTTAACCAACTGAGCCACCCAGGCGCCCATATATATATATATATTTTTATTCATTAGAGAGAGAGAGAGAGCATGATCGGGGGGAGGAGCAGAGGCAGAGGGAGAAGCAGACTCCATGCTGAGCTGGGAGCCCAGTGCGGGACTCCATCCCAGGATCCTGGGATCATGACCTGAGCCGAAGGCAGACGCTTAACCAACTGAGCCACCCAGGCACCCCTCCTTCTATTAGTTTCTTTAATAATCATAAAAAGAATGCAATTCACATCATCTTAAAAAATATATAGCACTGAAGGTTCAGTGACATGCAGAAACTCTTATATCGACAGATTAGAATTTTCCACTTGTCTATAATTCTTCCATCAACCTACCATGCCCCACTTCAGTGAAGAAGGAGGTACTGAGCTATCTGGGATGGAAGTTAGTCATAAACAAGGCAATAGAAATGTGTGTCAGGGCCCCCAGTGTTTTCTAAGGCAGGAATATCTTTTTCTTATAGGCTAGATCGTTGATAGGGGACCCCAAAGCGAGGTGTTCTTGGTGCCTCTCGGAGATGTTGACAGTCACCATCTAATTAACAGATGTGTTTGTGACTGATGGAAAGTCACCATGAGCAGTTGGTCCAGGTGGCGGGTGGAGGAGATGTTCTCCTATCGTTAGTGCCGGCCTGTCCCGCACATGGTTCCCGCGGTGGAGATAGAGTGGGAGGGGCAGTTCCTGCCGTGCTGAGTCCAAAAATCTCAGAGTAAGTTTGATGGCAGTTTTCCCAGCCATAGGAGAAACATTTGTAAATACAGTGTGAAATGTGGGGGCAGGCATATATATATATATATATATATACACAAAAAGTTGGAAAGATTTAGCTTCACTCTCTCCATAGTCTTGCCCCGTACAGTTTCCTTAGAAAAGCAAGCTCTTACCCTGTGTGACAAGAGTTTTCAGAACAGGGAAAGGGACTTAAGTGGCTTTTGCTAGCAAGCAGAAATCGACAAGACTGCTTCTTACCCAGGACTTTTATTAGCTCCTGATCGCAACCGATTTTTCTCCAAGAACTGGCTTTGTTTTTACTGTGGTGACTGTCTAGACATAAACCCTGCATCGGGGACTGTGATTCCTGTGCTGAGTGAGCTCAGTTACCACTTCAGTCCTGACCGCTGTGTGTGCGGTGTTACCCACCTTACCTGTCAGACGCCAACTCCAGAACCAGTCTCTTCATTCCCAGCTCGCTTTCCCCTCTAACCCCTTGACCGTCCAGTGGCCTGGAGCCCCACATTCCTTAATTACAGCGATAACAACTATCTCCTGCAAAGAGGATGGTTTTCCCGAAGAGGTCACAGTTTCCTAGAGGACTTCTACATCAGCCACTGCCTGGCTGCCTAATGATTAATACATTGATCTTCCAGAAAGTTCTCCAAGTTACCAAAAAAAAATTTTTTTAAAGCTATCCAGCCTTTTCGCTGATCATGCCTCCTCCTCTCTCCCCGACTTGTGTTTTGGTCATTCCCTAAAAGTGCACTCTTGCTTCTCCAGGCCTGTGAGGAAGCCGTTCCCCGCCTGGAATGCTGTTCACCACACATTTGTCTTTCAGAGTAGCCACCTTTTCCTCCTGCTGAACCCTTTTCAAGTCCCCTCTTCTCTGAGAGCACCGCACAGACTCTTCCAGAAGGAATTAGGCTCCCTTTCCCAGTTCTCCAACAGCAGCTCACTGGGTGGCTACAGAAAGCAGGGGCCGATTTTTCGCTCTTGTCCTTACGAGCGCCTTCACAGTACTCTGCTCGGAGCTGGTATTTATTCCTTCCTATACTTTGATTCTTTGCCACATGGAAATTGTGTTGTTAAATGAAGCACTTGATCTCACTGTGTGTACTGGTATCGCAGTGTTACTTAGCCTCTCTGACTCCTTGCCTCCTGGAGAAAGACCTTCTCTTTGTCGGGATGGAACAGTGACCGTGCACATGAGCTGTGATTAAAGTGAAGAGGACGTGTCCCTGCAGGCCTTGTCCTGGGGACCAGCAGGCTTACGTGATGCCAGTACTTTGGACTTAGGCCCCTGGGCCTCTGGGATGGCGACTTCTGTAGATGAGCTTGGAGGGCAGTCATGACTGACTGTCTCTCGGTCCCTCCACAGACCAAAGCTTCCCCTTCTCGGAGGAGGAACTCCCCGGATGGGCCCATCCTGGATCCTCTAGCTCCCTCTGCCCCGGGTGCCTTGGACGGAGGGCAGGTGGGGACTCGGTCCGGCCTAGAGTAAATCTAGTCCATGTCCTTAAAGGTTATTTCTTTTCCTGGAAAAGAGCTGTCCTCCAGTCAAATTTTAACTCATGCTGTTGCATGAGGGTTATCTGGATGTCTCTGAGGTTTGCTGGGACCAGAGTGTCCCTGAAATATTACAGAATGTCTTTGTGTCTTGCAGAATTACTTGCTGTACCTGCAAATGCCTGCATTTCTGTGGAGGATGCACATGTTTTAAATTTGCCTCTGAGATCTTTATGATAATAATTCATCTCTGCATTGGAAGACAAATACAGCCTCAGCGTAAAATCATGTTCGAAGAACACTCTGTGTTTTCAGAAAGCTGGCTCGAAAAATAAGAAAGGCTAGAACAAAATGTTCTTTTTAAACTGCCTTCCTCACTTATTGAGATCAAGATGAAGAATTAGAAATAAAATATTCTGAGATTAGGAGATTGTAATCTGAATTGCTGGTGATACAAAATACCATAGTGTCACGGGTAATGGTAATGCTCCAACTTGCTTGCATGTATCACTTGAAGAACTGATGAGTCCTTCCCTTCTGATGATATTTTGGCTCGAAAAATTACACAAAGAAAACGCAGTGTCAAAAAGGGTATGTCAGGGGGCGCCTGGGTGGCTCAGTCGTTAAGCGTCTGCCTTCGGCTCAGGTCATGATCCCAGGGTCCTGGGATCGAGTCCCGCATCGGGCTCCCTGCTTGGCGGGAAGCCTGCTTCTCCCGCTCCCACTCCCCCTGCTTGTGTTCCCTCTCTCGCTGTGTCTCTCTGTCAAATAAATAAATAAAATCTTTAAAAAAAAAAAAAAGGGTATGTCAGCAACCCTGAACATCACTAAACTAAGATATAACCCAACCGATTTGCTTTTGAAGAGAAACTTACGAAAAATGAGGTTTCTTTTTTAGCAGCCCACAAAATTCATGCGCAGCCTTTGTCAAAAATCTGGACAAGAAAAGTAGAAATGATGGGAAATGTTTAGTTAGCCTCATCCTCTCAAAATGTTTTTTAAAGAGATATTTAGTTTACTTTCTTTATTTTTAAATTTAGCTCTTTTTCCATTTGTCATATGAAAAAAAAATTACCCAGAGCTTTTACCTCCCTGTTTAAATTTTAAAAACAGAAGACTATTTGTCATTTTGAATGCGTGTGGTCCCTTTCTCTGATACTGTGCCTTATTTGGCGTTTCCCGAGAAAATGTCCCAGTAATGGCCTCTGAAGGCAGCTCTGGCTCAGGGGCTGGGGTTCAGGGCGGGGTGGCCGGAGACAGATGGGGTGTGTGGCCAGCATCCATGCAGCTCCCACCTGGGGAGATGGGGGAAGGGGTCTCCATCGAAACCACAACCTGGCCTGAATGCAATTGTGCAGACTGGTTCCGACTTCTAGTCTGGGACCGGTCCCAGGGTGTTGAAGAAAACATCGTGTGATCCAGGTGAGAAGACTTTGCACGGAGGGGGCAAGGTTAAGCCTGATGATTCTGGTGATCCTGATACAGCTTCCCTAGAGAAAGGAGGGGAGTGAAAATGAACAGAGTGAAGCCACATTTACGCTAGGCCACGGAAAGATGTCTTGTCATCTGTGTACCCAGTTGATAATCACAACTGCTCGGCCCTCTTCTTCGGGGGCTGGAGAGAAAGGACCAGGCCCCTGTGGTGCTCTATTTTCAAACATTCTTGCATCTTTCCTCAATGTTATCCACGTGGACTGCAAAACTGAGCCCGCTGATGCCCTTTCTCTGAGATGTAGCCTTCGTGAGATCTTCAGGAAATCTTCAAGGACGATCCTTTTTCAGATGTGCAGTACGGTGGCGCGCAACCTTGAACACCCTTTAGCATCCCCTGGGGACTCAGGGAAACACAGACTGTGAGCCTCACCCCTGGAGCGTCGCATTCAGCAGGTCTGGGAGAGGCCTGAAGGGTGTTTTCCTAACGAGGTCCTGGCGATGCTGCGGCAGCCTCGGGACAGAATAAACAGTGAGCACATTGGCCTCCTGCTTGCCGGGAGCACCGGACTGCCTGACTGCGTGGCATTTTTATAATCACTGGGTTATTCCACAATTCTAGTACTCTGCTGGCTTTCACTCCTATGTCTTGGCCCTGAAATTAGCCCGCAGGCCCTTCCAATGGAGAAATTCACACTGACACGGAGGCAGGCCCCTGGGGCCCACCCAGCAGGAAGGGCACGAATGTTCATTTTTAAGAATAAGTAAAATGGCGGGTTCCCCAGCAGAAGTTAGACTTCTGCTTTTATCAGATATTTCGACACATTTCTCCTCCGATTGCTCTGCTCAATGCTGGTTTGTTTGTGTTTTTTAAAGATATTTTTTTAAGTAATCTCTACGCCCAACATGGGGCTCAAACTCACAATACCAAGACCAAGAGTCACACGCTCCGGGGACTGAGCCAGCCAGGTACCCCTCAATGCTGTTTTCTGTCAGAAAAAAGTTGGGGACCGTTCCAAAGGAATGGTGCAAACTTTCATATTCAGGATCATTCCAAGCACCTTTACTAGGTAGACAAAGACAGCGAAGGCATCTACAGCTGGACTCAGAGTCCAAGATCTAACTATACAGAAGCTTTGCTAGCTTTATTTTTTTTCAAATAAATGTGGTATTCCCCTGTTGGTGACTCACTTCCAGTGGCCCTGGGTTAAGGAAACCAAATGGACCACAAGACACTCTAGCTTGTTCTGAAACTTAGAGTCGGCTGTTTGCCCACAGGGTGTCTTATTCCTCAATAAGAGAGCTCAGTTCTCCACAAAATATACTCTTCTGCAAATCCCTAAACACTTGAAAGCAAGCTTCCTTTATCACCATCTACCAGAACATGCCTTGTGTGTGTGTGTGTGTGTGTGTGTGTGTGTGTGTGTGACATTATCCTTCTACTTACACATCACAAATGACCAGGTAAATAGAATCAATAAGCATTGGCTGAATCTTTCTTGCCAACTGAGACGGGGCAGTTTCGAGTTTAAACGCCAGTCCTTGGCACACTTGGCTACACATTAGAATCCCCTAGGGAGCTTTTAAAAATCCCCAATCCCCAGGCCACACTCTACACCAGTGAAATTGTAATTTCGGGAGACGGGGCCCAGACAGACATCAGTATTTTTAAAAACTCTCCAGAGAATTCCAACATGTAGCCAAATGTGAGAAGCAGTGATGTCAGCAACAGCTTTCTGGGTGAACCCATCTGTTGATTCTCTAACTGGATCCTTTCCTGCAGCTGTGGGCATTGGGCCATCTCGGACGCAGCAGGTTCATTCCTGACCAGGAAGGAAGACTGGGCCTCAGTTTCCCTCCACAGAAGAGCACCAGCTCAGGACAGCCGTTTCCCTGACTCACCCCTTTATGCTCACCAAGTGAGAAAGTGAGGTGACTTTGAATCTGCTGCGATCTTGTGGTTGATGCAGTGTGGCTATAAATTCTCTGCAGCTGCTCCCATGAAGAGATGGAGTCTACTTCCCCACTCCATGAAACTGGGCTGGTTTCATGACTTGCTTTGACCAGTAGATTGTAGCAAAAGAGATGTCACGTGAGTTCTGGAGCCTGGGCCTCCACCTTGCCCTCCTGAATGTGGCCCTGAGAAGCCTGCATGGGAAACTAGCGTATCCTCCTTGAGGAGGAGAGGACAGGCTCCCCCGGCCTCAGCCAACACCACCCCCAGACCTCAGTGACTCTCCAGCAGAACGTTGTCATTGGAGCGAGCCCTGTGAAGCCAGCAGAGGAGTGCGGCCCAGCCATCCACAGGATCAGGGGACATTGGAAATTGCCGTGGTTTTGAGAGACAGAGTTTTGGGGTGGTGGTTACTCAGGAATAGAAGCCTGAAACAAATAGTGACTTCGTACGTCCTTCTCATGACTTTGTATCTGTGCCACGAGGACAGCTGTGCGTTGCCCTGCAAGTACTGATTTTAAAATGCACTGATTTAGGGGCATCTGGGTGGCTCAGTCGTTAAGCGTCTGCCTTCGCCTCAGGTCACGGTCCCAGGGTCCTGGGATCGAGCCCCGCATCAGGCTCCCTGCTCCGCGGGAAGCCTGCTTCTCCCTCTCCCACTCCCCCTGCTTGTGTTCCCTCTCTCGCTGTGTCTCTCTCTGTCAAATAAATAAAAATAAAATCTTTAAAAAAATAAAATTGACTGTAGAGATGTAAAATAAACATCGATCAGTGGTAGATGTTAAAAAAAAAAACAACAGTACCTAGGGATACAAATTATATATAAGGGAATTTCCAGGATGCAAAGTTGAAGGGTAGAGTATCTACAACTTTGAGTAGGACATTTACAAATTCCAGAAAAGCATGACTTTCTCTGAGGATGGGAGGTGTGGAGCTGAGATACTTTTGTAAATTTAGTCCTGATATTATTTGTATTCACTCAGTATATATATATATATATATATATATAGTATATAAAATATGTATATATTGTCCCTGCAATGGGCAAGGTACTTTCTTTATTGGATGTTGAGGAGGTTCAAAAAAGGATGCTGTTATCAAACTCAGGAAGTGTGTATCATGTTCCTCTCCCATCATTTCAGTTTTCCAAGTTATTAGCTGCTGACAATGTGCATATCTCAGTTCTAACAGTTGGAATTCAAATCTAGCTCTTCTGGAAACTGTCTCTGGTTCTTCAGTGCTAAGGAGGGGAGCTAACTTTTCTGTCAGGGCTCCATGGATTGACGAATGGATCAGGAAAGATGGGACTTTTCACTCACCATCCTTGGCAAGGGGCTTCTCCTGGGCAACATAATCATGTGACTCAGCAATTTAGAATTAACTCAGTGAGAAGGTTTTGCCTTGCAACTAACCACTCAAATTTTTATCACCTCCTCGCATTGTGTGCATGTGCACACACACACACACACACTTTATGTTGCTGGGGATACCACAGCAAAATCCCACAGACTGGGGGGCTTAAACAACACAAAGGTATTTTTCACAGCTCTGGAGGCTGAAAGTTCATGATCAAGGTGTCTGCAGGGTTGGTTTGTCCTGAGGACTCTCCCCTGGGCTTGCAGACAGCTGCCTTCTCCCTGTGTCCTCACATGGCCTTTCCTCTGTTGTGAGCATCCCTGGTGTCTCTTTGTGTGACCTAATCTCTTCTTATTAGGACATCAGTCATTTTGAATTAGAGTCCATCCTAATGGTTGCATTTTAACTTAATCACCTTATAAAAGGCCTCTCAAAATATGGTTACATTCTTTTTTTTAAAGATTTTATTTATTTATTTGAAAGTGAGAGAAAGGGAGAGCACGAGCAGGGTGAGGGGCAGAGGGAGAAGCAGACTCCCCACTGAGCAGGGAGCCCGATGTGGGGCTCGATCCCAGGA